TTGTTGTCAAACAACTTTTTTCAAACGTTCCCACCTCATTTACATTATTTTTTAACGGTCCCCAGCGAATTTGGGGTTTTTTCTTTTTTTTTCGTGCCAATAAAATCAAACCGCAGAAGTATTGTAAAACTTTTATGCCAGTGTTTTGGGTTTTGGGTACATTTTAAAAATAATACAGTGGTTTTGTTAAAGTCGTTATTTTACAACTAAAATGATGCTACTTTACAACTAAAATGAGTGATGTGCTGATGACATTAGCTATAGGCAATATGGTGTGTTACACCTCAATTATGTATGACATTATTTATTTATTTATTTAAGGTTTTGCCTCGTGTAACCTTATTTGACTACGCAACCATTCTAATTGTAAGGGCGTAAACTTTATCAGCATGTAAAAACTGTCGACTGTGACTTTTTTCATTAAAAGGCCCGGCTTTTTTCTTCTAAATAGAGGTGCAAATTTTTGCCCAATCTCCTTAAAAGGTATTACCGAGCGTAACAAAATTTAACGGATATTAAAAAGTTTAAGTCGGAGTTAATATTGACGGGCGCGGCAGATGGGAAGAAAGGGTTCGCGAAAGAATCCAAATGGTGACAAAAAGGCGTAAAGAGGGGGCCAAAGTTACTTATGCGGCGAAGAAAAGAGGCCAAGAATTAGCAAAAATAAAAGGTGACGGCCCCAGTGTTGCCAGTCGGGTCTAGTCAGAAATTACCAGAAATATAAAAAAAGTAACCTTTTTGAATAAAAAGTAACCTTCATACGGGGGGGGGGGGGGGGGGGGGGGGTGCGGAGCGATGATTGTGTAAGGTTGTTCATGGATGGAAAATGAATACAATTGATCATCTAAATTCGAAAAGTGACCAAAAACGTTTCATGGATTTATGCACTTTTTGACATAATTTTGAAATTGTCACTATTAATATTTTTACTGAATAACCTGTAAAGTTAATTCTACAATTTCTGAAAAATCACCTAACTAAAAGTAACCATTTCATTAAATGTAACCTAAAAGTAACCACAGCAGTTCAAAAGTAACCTTCTGGCAACACTGGACGGCCCGCTGTTTACGGGATGCCGAGGGGGGCCTTAATTAAAGGCTTTCTTGGACTTTTCGCGATGCAATTTGGGTGAGAGACAAGAATTATTTTTATTGAAGTCATCACTAATTTCGGAAGAATTGAGGGCGACGGACCTTTTGTTTTGGGTAAATGCCGCCAAATTGCGAGGTTTTGGCGACTTTGGTAATTGCTCTCGATTACCGATGGTTTTGAATGGCGTGATTTTTCTTTGGGTCTGCTGATTATTTTGATAGATAATTACACCCATTATTTTAATTGCAGTTCTGTTAAAAATCTTAACGATAAAATTCTATTTCTTACCCATCAACCAGCCCGCTTGGAAAATATGTAAAATTACTCCCTAAGTTCCTGTTATAAATCTCACAATAACTGTTCCTGACTTTACCGATCCAGATTCAGATCATAGTATTGTAAAGTAAAGTTCATAACTCAATACAAATTTAAGCATGGAATCATTAATGCTATTCATTTAGATATTCTAACCAATTTCAGTAAATCTGGATTCACATCTCGTCGCTTGTCTCTCTAACTGACGTATCTGAAATTTTTTTCGAAACTGAGGTATCTATGTTACGGTCAAAGTGATAAATGTGAAAATTATGAATAATCGCCGGTTATTATGAATAATTACCGCATGATTTGGTAAATGTGATTAATATGAGGTCATTTGTGTGTGTATAAAACTAAATAGGCGGCTTAGGGGTGGCCCAAGGGCCACCCCCGCCGCACCTTAACCTATTTTTCGCTTTAAATCAAAACATTATGTTATAGGCATCATGGAAAAGTAATATTATGCAAAAAACATTCCAAACTCATTATGCCAAATTATACTAATATATGATCAAAACGTTCAAAAGTTTGGCTGTACACGAGTACGTACACAAGATGTTGTTCTCTTTTATGAAATTTGTTAGTACTAAGGTTGAATTATTAAATAATCACTGTTAAATGTGATTAATTTATCACTTTCACCGCGACTGTCGGGAATTATTCATAATAACCGGTTATTATTAATAATTTTCAATTTATCACATTAACCGTAACATCTACACCATCTTAATCAATTTCGCAAGACGAATCGATCTATCTAATCGCCTGAATTTTTTTCAAAATGTCAGTTACGTCACTTAGAGAGGCAAGCGACGATCTAACCGTAGTCGCAAATAGACAAGAATGAAACTTGCGTAGCGCAATTACAGGTGTGTTAACTAACTCACATCTCCAAAATGAGTTCGCGCACGGAAAGACCGACTCAATTTAATCTCAACTTCAATCTCAAAATTATCTATCACTCCCAATATTTGATCCTTCCCAAGACATTACAAATACATTTTTCCGCAGCAGCTGCGCCGTGTTTTCATTTCGCTTTGAAAAAAAGATTTTTCTAATTAAGTTTGGGGAATTCTTAAACAAAATTTAAGTAGTATTAATTATCTTCGTCCTTTATTAATAAAAGTCGTGAACTTAGTCCGAAAACAGGAGACAGTTGTTAGAAAATCCTTGATTTGAGTCGGGGGTGGAGAAAATTAAAATCATAAGAAAATAATTAAAGTCCGTAAGGGATTTATTGGGAAGAGAACGTGATTAATTGCTTTTTGGATAAATTGGGAAAGCAATAAGTGTCAATTGTGCGTGTTCCCGATTCATTGGATAAATTAATAGGACTTAATTAACGTTTTTTATGAATTATGGTGAGGTTTGTTATTAAAATTTGGAGGATTTGAGAAAACTTTATAATCTTGATGTCCCTCAATAGGTATGATCCAAATGATTGTTAATCAACTTTTAGATAATTCATTCAATAGTTTATATACATGCATGAACTCTCGTTAACAATGTTCTAAAATAGGTTTTTTCGAAGTAATGGCATTGGTACCCAAATAATCATTACCCCAATATTGATGCCTATCAAAATATACCACACAACACATAAATGCGTAATTGCGCAAAAATCACCCATAGTTAGGTAGGGTAATTGCGCCGGTTTTCCGTCCAGCTCCTGTTTTCGTCCATTTGACCGACGGGCCACAAACAAATACGGAAAATTAGAATACAAACCTAACTTTCCGTGCAAGTTTGGACTTGTTACAATTTATAATATCTAAGTAACAGTTCTGCCTGCATGAAAATGTAATTTGACAAGTAATAACTCCAAAAAAATCTACGGAAGTTGCTGCTGCACACAGGTGAATGGAAAACGTCGTCAAGTTAGAAAAAAAACGTGCCGGTAGGGAACTTTCATGGTATGTTTAATTACTGTTTTAGCTACTTTACGTAATGTTTTTGGCACGTATGTCTAATTATTAGCATAATAAACACTATTTTAAGGGTTTATTAAAGTTTTTGTATAGAAATCTTAGATAATTAAGTGGACTAATACTAGCATAACAATTTTGCAAGATTTTGGTTTTCGTCCACGTGGACGGAAACCCTGACACCTAGTTAATATTTTTAATAATCATTTTACTTCAATGGACCTACAAAATACAATGTTTTTTCTTCCAATATGATCTTTATTGCTATTACATTAAACATTTTAGTTTACGTCCACTTTTTAACAGTGATAAACCCATAAAAACCGTTAAAAAGATGTGGACGAAAACAAAAAACAGCTTTAAACGTTGTTGTGTTTTCGTCCATGACGTCATGAGCAAGCACTGGGGTGGACGAAAACCAAAATTTGCTATTCCTGTAGATAAGTTTTCGTCCATTTGTCCTTCGACCTATTGCAATATTTTCCTAAATTTAGGTAAGAAACTTATTTAAATCTTTTTGATATCATTTGAAAGCTAATAAAATTACCTTTCAAATGATATACCACAATCCATAGTTTACTGTATTGTAGAATTGGTTTTAAGTTAATAATTCAACTGCACCCTTTTTTCTACACAGTGGTCGAAAACTAGCGTACACTAGGACGAAAACTGATTTTTTTGGACGAAAAGTAGTGAAATCGCCTCTTTTGCATAAAATATTTTTTACAAAAAAACCCGTGGTATTTACTTATTGTCATATAATTTTAACGTAAAGTAGACTATATAAGGACTAAAATGACATATGATACATATGAGTAAGAGTATTTTAAGATATTCATTTCGCATCACAAAGTTGGCAACTCCGATAATTGGACGAAAACTAGCGCACTTACCCTACATCAGTAAACAATAAAGAGTGTGGCATAATAAACTCATCAAGAAAATATGTCATTTTAACAAATGACGGTCTTTAATAATTCAGTTAAGCGAGCATGTAATTATGTATTCTAGCAAATAAATTATTGAATTTGAATTTGAATTTAAGCGTCTCATTTCTAATTGGCGGTGGGTTGAACTTGACCATTAATAAATGGGAATGATACTTCAAAGTTAACCCTCTCTCTGTCGCGAAGTATTCGGGATGGATATCAAGAGGGCATTAATGGGTTATTGAGATTAGCCTTGCTAATATTATAGAAAGTAGGATAGAAGATAGGTTTTTAAAGTAGATAATTTTAATTTTTTAATAGTTTTTCCTTTTTTCTATCGTTTGTGTCCTAATCCACTTGCTCTCATGATTTACATAAGAGCTGTCATAGGTAACTTGAGATGGCTCATGGATGGGTCTGCGTGGTCGAACTCGAACGGTCGGCAAAATATTTCAGACTTCAGTATTGCAAGAAAATTTGTCACCTGCTTACTAGGTTTTACTATTTAGTAATGATAGAAATGTGGCATCAAAGTCTTTGTAGGCATAAATCAAGAATAAGAATAAGCTAAAAATATCTGCAAAAAGTAAAAGAAAACTACCTAAAACAGATTCATATTAATTCAGGAAAAGGCATTTAACATTACACCACCACAGAAATTAACTGACTTTCCGTAGGCTGAATTCTGATTGCAATTTATTCAGCTATTTGTCTTTGTTTTTAACTGTATACTTACGGGATTGTTTCGCCGCCTCATCATGCGCCTCGGTTGGCGCCTTCAGCTCATTGCGCGGGCGACTCGCGCGGAAAATTATTTCTTTTCATACGCCATTTTTCACGTTCTTCAACTCGGAGATTTGTTTATTCTTCGACGAGTCTTGATTGAGGGTTCGTTTTGATTTTTCTTGATGAAGGTTTTTAAAATCTGGGGATAACAATATTGAATGAACAAAGTTGGCATTGTTAAGAAGTTGTTGATCTATTGAATGAATCCTATTATTATAGCAGCATAGAATGTTATTTTATTAATGTTGAAACCGTCATTATCTAATATGGTTTCTGCAACACTTGCAACCCATGTAAAAGCGTAAGCACATGAGTAAAGATACCTAGCTATAGGTATTTAAATACCTTACCTTTATGAAAAATAAGTGGTAAAAAGTGGTCATTTGACAAATAACTAAAAAATCAAACTTTTTATCGAACTAGACTTATCCGTTGCTTCGGGAACAAAATTACCTGAGTGAGACAGACAGAAAGACAATCTTCAATGGCACCAAGAATAAGAACAAAAGTAAGTTTTATTAAGAGCGTTGTAGCAAAAAGTTGGCGTTCGAATTTTAGATTTTTATTGCTTGACGTCGCGTAGTGAGTGCGCAAACTGCATTTATCTGTACAATTTCAACGCTGCGTCGACTAAACGATCTTAATCCGTAGTTGTATCGTACCTAAGACAGTACATCATACATAATAATAAAGAAATAATGTATAATTTACCTACTTGATTTTTTCTCAGATCAGACTTTTAGCAATTAATCAAGTTACGTTATTAATGTATTTTTTACACTAGTAAATCCCGCGACAAGTTTTTAATTTTTAAATTGAGTAAAGTAATAAGTTTATGGGTTTGAAAGAATTTATGTTTTATTTTATTCTTTTTACAGCATCAAAAGCTTGTTTATGAAAAATATTTACTATTTAAATTTTACTTTTGACTTTTTAGTTTTTATGATGCGGGATGGAAAAATTAAAATTTATTCTGATTTTGTGACGTTTCCGCACATAAACGTCAGTGGGCAGTCAACTGACATAGACCCGGCGTCTACGAGTGCCAAAGCACGACTGATTTATGCCATTTGATGCACCCGATTTTATAGTATTTTCAAATTAATTTTTCATTTGAAGATTGAAGATAGATATTTTTTCTTTTTCACACAATAATAGTACTATGTTTCTTCTTAAGTATAAAGTAGTTTATGTTGCCAAATGACTTTTAGATTATGAGATCTGACCTGTTTTCTTGCAGTAATTTTCTCGAATTTTGACTATCTTAGACATGATAAAAATGCATTTTAATGAATTAAACATCAAAATTTTCTCAATACACTTTCTTCTTCAGGGTATGCTTATTCTAATGAATACATTCTATCTTCTTACTTAGAAATAAATTTGTTGTAATATTAGTTCAAAGTTGTGCCTTCGCGAGTTACCTGGAAATCGGGCTTTCGAAATTCGCTGTTTTCGTAGGCAAAAATCCAATTTGAACGAGATTTTGTCAATAGACATTCCGGAAAAACGTATGATAATTACGATGGTATAAGTCAAAAGCAGCTATAACAATAAATTATATGACTAAAATCATTTCGAAATCTGCCAAATTCTCGATTTCTGCATGAAAAATGTGACAACGCTCTTAAGAAAGCACCAGGGCGGCAGAGGGACATGAGGTATGGAAATTGTTCTTCCCTCAGGCGACTTGCTTTCACGGTCCACTGGGCTGATCATAATAAAAACGCTCGCCGTCGCGCCTTCTCCAAGTTTGACCATAAATTCCGTGGTCGCAGTTAGTGTGGTCTAGGAGCCAAGGTCCAATATTCTTGTCACATAAAAGAGAAGAATAATGTTGTTTTGTTAGAGAAACATAGTATCTTTTAGGCCATATTTTTCTTTTTGGGTAAGCGCCTCGTTTGGAATAACAAGAACGTAAAGATGTTACGTAATTTAAAACTAGATTACATATTAGTTAGAGTTTAGACTATTATCAGTTGTCACAAAATAAAAATAATAATGTACTTCGCTATTATTGTTACTGGATTAATCGGTGCCCTTTTATGGATAAAATAGGAGCGATCATGCCATTAGATTAGGACTTGCTATGCTAGGGAAAAGGGAGACACGTAACAAAATGTGAAAAAAGAAAAGTAAAAATACTTCTTCCTTAAATTTTATGGTAAGTTGCACTGTTATAAAGCGGCAAAAAATATATATTTTAAAATAATTTGCTTATTTTACTACGGCTTCGAAAATAATTTCAGTACTAAGATGACATAATTATTTCTGTCGAAACATGAAAATCATGCTCCTTGGCTCTCTTACTACATTCGCTGGCGGCACTGCAATTCTCGAGGTCTGTCTTTAATATAATAATAAATATAGTCCACCAGTTTTTTGCAAGTTTTCTTTGTTTTCCCCTGGGGTGAGCGCGGACCATTAAAAAGGTTAGGGAGCGTGTTTTATGCGATTTTAAGTGTGTAACGGCTCTAATGTCCGTTTTATACCGGTTTGAATTATGGTGGATAGTTAGCTAAAATAAGGACAAGATATTTTATGACTGTCACTATCTAATGATTACTTGACTAGAATCAAACTTTTATCGGCAGTATTTTATTAATTAATTAAGGATTCTTATTGACTTATTTTTAAAATTACTAATACATGGCAATAATCGTTCCTCTAATCCAATCCAGTAACAGGCACATACTTTGAGAAATTTTTGAATTAAAAAAAATATTTTCATTGGGTACTACCTACATCTAATTTAAAAAAAAAATGACATTCTATGAATCATAAATATTCAAACTATATTACTATTTCCACACATTACTTGGAATCTAAAATAATGCAGGTAGGCTCAAGTTATTGAAACACAAAATAAAATCATGAAAAATACATTTACCTATAGCACTTAGTTTACCTTAAAGCCCAAAAGACTGCAAGCATCGCCTTTGAGTACACAATACATTATTTTCTTGATATTAATCTTTCTTGCGGTATTTTCTTACATTTGCACAGCACATTCATATTACTCACTTCGCTACTCGACTATTTCGAACTTAAAACACATCAAACTGAACTCATCGAACAGCCAACGCTATCTATTGACATTTATTTGAACGAATTATTCTGTCCCTCCCAATCATAAAGTAACCCAACCTTAGTTTATACTCGCCTGGTATTTCACAGTGGCATCTAGCGGTGAGTAGCAAAACCATACAGTGTAATGACACTTACGAGGCCCCGCCTCCCTCCCACCCAGTGACCGCTTTGTCGTAGTAACTGCGAATCCTCTTTGATTTTATGTGCGCCTAGTACTTTGCGAGCAATGACTGCTACGTTCGACATGACACATGACACGAAACTGATTGACAGTGCCATTCGATTATCTACGTTCTTTCAGGGCAGAAGAGTATTTTGTAAGTTTTGAAGTTACGGGATTGTGTACCTATTGGGTTTTGGAGTTAATGGCAATATTCTGAGCAAAATTTGTTATCATCGTTGTGTTTACCCTCAATAGTAATAAATTAAAATATTAATTTGTCACTGTGCAAAAATGATCAATGGCTTCTATTAATAATTTGGAATTACGATTGTAAATGTATAATTTTAAGGATTATTTTAGATTTAATTACAGTATTTTTAGCGGATTTTTTTTTATACAAATCGTAGCAACTGCGTAGATACTTTAACGCCATCTGGTTAAAATTCTAAGAACTGAATTTAAGTTTTTGCGTTCATAGACATAATTGATTTCGCGATTACTTAAGTAAGTAACTAGAAATTAAATTCTGATATAACATCATAATTAATGATTATTTTTATGAGTATTTCATTAAAAATAATTTTGAATAAAATCGTTTCTGAATTTATGGTTGGCAATTTTATTGCTACCTACCCCCTTTTATAAATATTATTTCATAAAGTACCTTGGAAACGGTCATTATTTTGTAAAATTATTCGTCATTACTGCCAGTCGTCAGCAATATTCTTTTGTTCAAATCTAATCAACAATACTTTACTTGCTTCTTTTCGCGGTCGCTTTAAAACTTATCTACTTACCTGCAAAGCTTTTTCTCTCTACGCTGGACTATACAAAATAGAATTTCGATTTCTAAGAAATATTACGGTGACAACAGAAGACAAGAATAAAGTTGACCCCACAGACCCCGCAGTAAGTAACCTATCTGGGTGAAATTCAATAAAATGAGCAAACAACATACGGTGTGTCATTGCTGTGGGGATATCGTGCCATGCCACGCTAACCGCGTCAACCGCTGTGAATGTGCGACCGTTGCTGTCCGCACGAGCAGTCGAGCCACGCAAACCGGCCCTATGTCTGACGACGTGAGAGAACAGGAAGAGGAGAGACAAGCCTTAGCCCATATCATTCGGTATCTTGGGCTGAGAACTGATGCTGCTACCCTTAACGTGGACGCGGCTAGAAGGATTGTATCAAATCATAACTTCTGGGAGATAGAACGGCAGCGCCAGCAATATGCTGAGAATATGGCTGAGAGGCGTCAACAGGTCGTATTACAGGCACAGCAGCACCGATTTCATTTTCGTCGCTTCCATATGCCTGGTTGGGGCCCAGCAATCGCGTTACCAGAGTGGCCTTTAGAATTTGGGCCACCACGGAGATTGTACGAAAGAATGCCATACCCACAACAGGATTTGGCCGAAGAAGAACCGCCAGAACAAGAACCACCACGACCACAGCCACGGCTATTAGCCAGGCCAGCCGTGCCATATCTTGTAAGGAGAATGGTTCCTGGCAACCCCTCGTTCTCTGACGAAGAACGGGAGTTCATCACTGAGATGCTTCGAAGAGTCCCTGACCCGGATGATTCAGAAGACAGCAGCTAAATTAACCTGGTACTTCTTTTATCCCATAGAAAGTGCTGTAAGGCTTTTATTGTAATCTAAATGACCAACAATAATTATCATTTGTTGTTGAATAAGTTACGCACACAACGTAACAGCATGTTTATTTTATTTAAATTAAATTTATTAATCATTGATTCTATTATTATTATAAAATGTGCATTACTTATGGGAATTTGACTTTCTAATTTTAGAATTACTTAATTATAATTAATAAAATGACATTGATATGGTACAATATTATAACTACATTTTATACCGACTGAAATTGTTTCATTTCATATTATTAGGTTCCTAGAAAAAGTATAATTGACATTCCATAACTAAGCAAACTTTGTAGACCTAATTGTAGTTGATGGTTGATTGACAGTCTGTAATAGGCAATCTACTAAAATCATAATTAATTCATGGATGGGATTTTGTAAATAAATGAAAACGCCATTTAATATGTATATAATTATAACTTTATATTTTATAACAAATATATAGCATACTGCTTCAGTATACTTCAAAGTGGGACAAGAAAAATATGTACAACACTTTTCTTATTAAAGCTAAATTAAATAATATCATTTGCATAAACTAAAATTAAACTTGTGACATATTTACAGGTGACACTACTTAAGTCTAAATTAATAATACCAGTCATCAAATAAAGGCAGTTGATTTTTACATAGTATACTCATTTTAGGTAATCAACACCCACTAAATAAAATTAAAGTAAATTATGTACATAATATACGATATTCAATACTAAATGTTTCATTGGACGGAATACTTAAGTCTCACGAATGATAAAATTAACAAAATACGCAACAATATTAAGGCACTCATTTAAAAATGTTTTGATAATTATAATTAGTATGACGTCGAGCTACTGTCTGGTCTCAGTTGTTTAGTTTGAACATCATCATAGGCAATAGTAAATACACTCTTCTTTTCTGTTATTGGTAGCCTCTTAATGTTACCGGTCTGCTGTACAAGAGTATTCATAGCTATTCCAGAGTCATTATCATCTATGTTGGTCGTTAATGTTCTATGACTAACATCTGCCACACTATCGCCACCGATATTTATTTTAGAAACGTGCACTTCTGTACCATTTTTTCTATCTTCATCGTAACTCGTTGATATTGATATGCTGTGAGTCAGAGCGCTCTCAGAAATCTCCTGTGATTGATCCTTGCTTTTTACATCATCCTGATTCACGTATATTGGTTGCTGTTCTATAGACTGCCTCCTTGGTAAGATAGGTAAGTTCGGTTGACCACCCAAGTATTTAGGAATGTGTGTTGGCTGAATATAACAAAGCGGATTTTGGTTTTCATAATTGTGTTCATACCTATGCTCAGAATGCTGAAGCAATGGGTGCACGTCAGGCAAAGGTCCCTCAGGCACTGGAGTCACTTTTTCTTCTTTTAACAATCGTGGGTGAATAAATTCACTTTCTTTTGTTTTGAAGTTTTTTTTTACCTCTAAATTGTCACTTTGATCTTTGCTTATAATTTTACCATATCGTCCCGTTTTATCTTCTTTTGCATCCTTATCTTGGTCATTTTTGGTTTTTGAAGGCCTTTTAGGTTTCGAAGGCACGACTTTCTCTGGAGCTGTTGGTTTTGAACTGCCTTTTTTGCCATACCATTGCATGTATCGTGGTAAACTTTTCTGAGCTTTACCATTTTCTCCAGATTTTACAGATTCACTGACTGGATCGGTTCTTTTGGCGCTGGAATCTGTATTGCTAGCACTTTCTTTCTTAGACGCCTCTTCCAGCTCAGGGGTTTTGATGTTTCTAGGAATTTCAGCAAGTTCGTGAGCCTCAGTTGAAGAACCTTGCCTGGAAAATACTAAGTTACGGTTATCATGCACAGATGCTGAACTGCTTCTGCTCTTGACCTCCTTGCTGCTTTCATGTTCAAGAGCAAGAGGCTCTTCTATAGGCGTCTGTCTTTGTAAACGCTTTCGTTCGCGAGAGTCTGATTCAACTTTTTCTTCTAATGAGTCGGAGATTTCCATTAGGATTTCTCTTTTTAGTCTGGATTTTTTCTCACCGTCTGTCATCTTTATTTGGGTAGAGCATACGGTTTCATTTTTGGATGTCGTGACTACACTTTTCGTTCGATCCCCGTAATTCCTAACACGTTCTTCTCTTTTATTTGTTTTACTAATTTTCACATGTTTTTCGCTTTCCAGTGACGGCGAAACTTCGCTTTCTTCGATGATTGGAGTTTTAATTTTTCTTTTCAAGTCGTACACTCTAATACTTCTTCTCGGATCTTTGTATTTTATTTTCTTTTTAGGTTTTTTCTTCTTAACCCATGCTACTTTCCTATTTTCGTTATCGACGATTTGTGATTCTTCATCTTCACTATAGGAGTCATTATCACTTCTTGCTTTTCTTCTAGTAGGTTTTAAAAGCTGAGGTTCTGTTTGTGTTCCTATATGACACTCTGTTTGTGTAGCAATAACAGAATGACCAGGTAAGCTCTGAGTTTCTAGTTTACTCTCAACTTGAGAGGCAGTTTCCTGATTTTGCAATAGCCTTTCTCGTTCAATTAAAATTTGATGTAATAGTTCATTTTGTTTTCTGAGAGAGGATTCCAAGAGTTCTTGGTGTATAGTTGATTTGTTTTGCATTTCTAGTAATGCTGATTGTAGATAATCATTTTTCATTGGTACAACTCCAGGAACTTCAGGAACTACATTTGAATAATCGTGAAATTGATTGTGCGTTTCACTTCCAGCCTGAGACCTTTGACCGAAGCCTTTACCTTCTCTTCCGGTTGACATATTGTCCAAATCTGTCACTTTGTTATTTACACTCATTCTTTCTCTAATATTTTTGGCTTCTTCTCCTTGCTCTCTAATGAATCTTTCCATTAGTAAATCTTTTCCACTATCAACTACAACATACTGAGTATGTGGAATAAGTGTTACAGGTCTCTGTTGATGTACAGGTAGATTTACATAACGCTCTTCTTCATTTTTACCCCTCGTCACAAGTCGTAAGATTTCTGTATTGCCTTCTTTAATGAAGTATTGATCCCTACCAAGGGAAGACGGAGCACGTTGTTTTTCTTGGAAATCTCGTTTCTTGTTATCAGCCTTATCATTTAAGTTTTTGTCATCAGACTTGACGAAGATGCCAACATCTGAGCCGCGGTCTATTTCATGCCTGCGAATCGAATCGTTGTCCTGTTCTCTTCGTTGATAATGCAAAGTAGCGATCCTGTCGTAGCCATTTTCTAAATCTTCTATGTATTCTTTATGCTTGTTGGCAAATGCTTCTTGAAGTTGCATTTCCTTTGTGTAGATGATGTTTGGACCATCCCTGAAAATTAAAATGTTTACATTTTATTGACATCAGATAACAAAAGTTTGTGGTTTATGTATTAACTCTGGAATTTGATCAAGTATTACTCGTTTGGTACAAAAATACAATTTACATTTAAATGATTGTAATGTTCATTTTGTATTTTAATTCTTGATTCTTGTTTTTTTGAGTTGATAATCTAGGTACTATTACGTTTATCAAAATTAGCCCATATTTACCTGGTACGAAAGGATTGCCGAGCATCATTGTTAGATTTGTAGTCATTATCAGCGGCCGCATGTACAAACTCCTGGTGAATATCGCCAGGGGTCGAAGCAGGCTTGGACCTATAGTTCCTCTTGTTGAATTTCCACTGCGTTGGCTTCGTCCTCAAGTCTGCCTGCTCAGCACTCCACGCTTCCCTTCTCCTCCACTCATTCGCTTGTACTGACTTATTTTCTATATTTTGCGTCGACTTGTTTTCTCTCCCAAGTCCCTTGTCGTGAACCACTAAACGCACGTCGTCCTCTGTGGAGTTGACACGTATCACTCTTTTCCTAGAATTTATTAATGGATGTCTATGTACCTAGCTGTTCTGTTATAACTTAAACATGTACATATTTACATATGAAAATTAAGGATAATTAGTCATGTGATGAAGAAGCGCAATTGGGTGGTAACTGAATGGTGTGGTTGTGTGATTTTTGGGGACAACAACATAGGTTTTGGAGGATGTAAAGTAAAATACATAAATTATTACCTATAATGTGGTAAAGCTGATGTAAATCATGCACTGGTTAGTTAGTGCACATTGGTCTGTTAATGATAGAAAAGACAAAATTAGAAGATGAAATTGCATAGACAAAAATGGGTGTTATTATGACCAGTTATGAATTTTAGCTAGAAAAACTGAATAAAGCGGACGCAAGAAATTATAATTCTGTCTAAAACGCGAATAGATTTTCCAATTTTAGATTTAGACTATGCAATTGTTTTTCTAAATTATTTTGTAAATCTATTCGTATTTTTGGCGTGTATTTTTAAATAGAAGTTGTGATATTTACCTTGGGGGCATGTATAGTGGACATCCTTCGCATATACAACAGCATATTAGGAGTAGCAACACAAGAGCTACTATTATGGCTAAAAGTATCAACAGCCAGAACAATAGACGACTTTCAGCTTTGTACAGATTCTGAAAGAAAATTACAAAACATAAAATATTTTGTTCCCATTACTTTTTGTTATCATAAAGTACCCTAGTAAGCAAAATATAAAACTTACTGAGTCGCTATTGTCAACCGTCGAAGCGTGGTCTCCTTGACCCTTTCCTCCATTGGTACCAGCGTTACCAGTAATAGTATTACCAGAACCATTGTTTCCAGAACCAGCATTGCCAGAACCTGCATTACCAGAACCAGTGTTACCAGAAGTACCAGAACCGGTGTTGCCGATTCCAGTATTTGATCCTGTATTAGTTACAGGATTGATGACAGTGTTCGTACCACTGCCATTAGTGTAAATGGTAATATTTTTGGCAAGCTGATCTTGAAGCTTCGCCACATTGATTGCTGTGTTCCCTGTCATGCGGACTATAGCTATTACTTCACTCCTGAAATTAAAAAGATTAGGTTTTACACCGAAAATAACTTAAGAAAAAAGAAAAAAAGGCATGATCAAAGCAGAAGCCTGTCGGCTCAATTTTGCGTTACTTACTTTTCTTGACTAGACTCCTGCCCGCTCAAATCTGTACCACCGTTTCCTTTATATGGCTTTATTTCGATTATATTTACTTTGCCTCCCGAAAGTGTGCTTAGCACTTCTTCTAACTTTTGCCTATCAGGATTAGCACCAGGCACTATGAAGGACATCGTCCTTGTTTTACTCTCTGGTGGGTATATCTTCACAGTTGTAGAAGAAGATAGCATGGGATCTCCCAAATCGTACGCTCTGACTACAAGAACAACAACTTCGCTGTCTTGGTCGATATCTTGGCGTTTTTGCCTGTGAACGTTTTGTTTCTTCGTTCTTTTGAGGGCTTCTAGAAGATACAGCTCACCTGTAAATTAAGAATAATTTTGGTGAATATATGGATGCATATTTACGAACTAGGTAATTTTAATAGTGTGATTTCTTTGTATAGCTCACCTGTTTCTTCATTTATGGCAAACTTGCCTTGCTCGTTGCCTTGTATAATTTCATATCTGACTACATTATTTGGTGGCTCAGCGTCTTTATCAACTGCCTTTACAAACGCTGCCGAAGTGAAATTGTTCAAGCTTGGCGACAGCACAAACTCGTACAACGACCTCTCAAACTCTGGTGGGTTGTCATTTACATCTAATAACTTAATAATTAATGGCACTGTTACTCTTAAACCTACTCCGTCGTTATCTCTAGCCTCTACTAAAAAATGCAAGTCTGGCATTGCTTCACGGTCGAAGCCGTGGTTGTTCGTTGCTACAGTAATGACCCCTGATATGGGGTCTAAGTGTAGCGATGTGTTTAGGTATCCTAGTATGGCAGTGTATTGGATTTTCCCAAAAGCACCAGTGTCAACGTCATCAGCTTGGACTTGTACGACCCTAGTGCCGGCTGTCACGTTCTCTGGTAGCTCGACGTCGTAAGACAAGGCCAGGAAGACGGGCGGGTTGTCGTTGACGTCGTTTAGGTAGACCGTGACGTTGGCAGTCGCTGACAAATTCGTTGCTGGACCAAGTTCTTGTGCCAGAATCTGTAAATGCAAAGAATAAAGGGATCAGTAAAGAGTAGCACTTTAAAATTATCGCAGAAGTTTTATGGCATCTAGAAGCCTAATTTGAGGGTGATAGTACGACTATCGCCAGTAGTTACTTTATGTGGCCTAAAAGTCAGCAATATTCTCGAACTCACTTTTTGTTGAAGAAAACTGGACCAGATGGACGATAGGAAAATACTATAAGTCTTATACTCTGTACTTGCTTGCGTTGCTCAATAGCGATAATAACTAGAAACCCACCTGAAATACAACAGACTTCCGCGCCTCGAAGTCCAGCATCGTATTGTCCCGGACTTTAATAATGAACTGAGCATGTCTCTCCGCCACCGTGGGAGAAATCTCGAAGGTTCCATTGTTCCCCACCAGGGTAAGAGAGAAGACGCCGTTCTTCCCCGCATCGTTGTCGTTCACTTGGGGGATGTATGGGTCGATGAAGGTGAGCGCTGTGCCTTGGGGAGCGTTCTCGTCCAAGTATGTGATGTAACTGGAAACAGGAGAAAAGGGACCGTCAATGTCATCCGAAAAATTCGTTGCATTAAAATAATCGTTCGTTCATTCGTTCGTTTTAGCCAAATGACGTCCACTGCTGGACAAAGGCCTCCCAAGCCTTTGGTCAAGGCTAATGAACGGTCCTGCGCTGCCCGCATCCAGGCTCTTCCCGCGACCTTTACCAGATCATTCGGTCCACCTAGTAGGAATAACAAAGACACAAATATTTATGTGCCTGCTTATTAGCGTTAATACTACAAGTCTTTTTTATTTCATGACAAAAATTAACTGTAACACACACTTATTTTTGCCCCTAAATACTAATTTTAGGCTATTCCAAGATTAAAGGCACTAACGCAATTTCGTACTTAGGTCTAGCTCTAGGCATAAAAGGCAAAGGTTAATTATGAGATCAAAACTTCTCAATATGCTACATAGCTTTGTGTATTTTTTCCGTTTGGTCCAAATGTTAACTAGCAGACAAAGCCTTTTAGCATTAATTTCGCACGCACATGTGCCAATTTACTTAGTATTAAAGAATACTTGACTTACAATTGGTTCTCAAAGTACGGCGGCGAGTTCTCTCTCTCAGGCAGTATGAATGCCAGCTGGACTGTGGAAGACATGGCCTCGGGCTCCTCTCGGGACAGGCGGACCTCCTCAGCGACTACAGTCAGGAGGATGGGGGCTCCAGCGTGGGATATCGCTGCTATCTCTTCAATAGGTCGCTCGAGAGTCACTTCACCTGGAAGAGAAATAAGTAATATGATTAGATAGTTAATACTAAAAAAAAAATAAAACCGACTCCAAAAAACCTACACTAAAAAGCAGAATAATAATTACTAATTACCTACTTATTTATTAGGACGAATTATTAATATTTATGTAGGTATACCATGATTGATACTTCTGGAGTCGGTGCCAAGATTATGAAACATGTAAAGTTTGCCTGCACCGACTCCAAAAGTATCAATCATGGTATACCTACATAAATATTAATAATTCGTCCTAATAAATAAGTAGGTAATTAGTAATTATTATTCTGCTTTTTAGTGTAGGTTTTTTGGAGTCGGTTTTATTTTTTTTTATAAAATTTAACTTATTTCTTGCTTTTTAGTTGACTAATTATTACCTTGATGTTACCACTGAAGGTAGGCAGTACATTGAGACCATATTCTTAATGTATATTATAAAAAAGTTCATCCCCAATTTTCCACCCTTGGGGGTGAAAATTTTCTTCAAATTCGCATGAAACCACCCTTTTGATAATACCTATTCAACAAAATAGTAATCGTTCTAATTGGTTTATAATCGGCGGAGATATTGCGTATAAAAAAGTTCATCCCCAATTTTCCACCCTTGGGGGTTGTTTTTTTTATTATTAAATTTAAATGGGACCACCCTTGAGATATTACCTATACGCTGAAAAAAGATTTGTTCAAATCGGTTCATAATTGGCGGAGCTATCGCGTAACAAACATAGAAAAAAAAAAAAAAAAAAAACATACGGGTCGAATTGAGAACCTCCTCCTTTTTTTGAAGTCGGTTGAAAACAGACCTTATGCACTTTATAAATAAGTTACTTTAATTTGTGTTTCGCCTTATAATTGTCTAGTAGACAAGGTCAATAATCAACTAACTTCTATAGACTAGAGGAAAAAAATTACTAAGAAAAATTTCTTCCCGATTTACTAAATGAACGTCTTGCCGATATTTACCAAAAAAAAAAACACTTAAAACAGCTTCAATCAACTCAACAGTCAACAATCCTATTGGTGGGAAAGTTAAAACAAATGAAAAAATAATTGTCGACTGTAAGTAAACGTTTTTGTTCTTAAAATTAAAAAAACATACGGGTCGAATTGAGAACCTCCTCCTTTTTTTGAAGTCGGTTGATAAAAAAGCTTTTACAGCCAGTCTAATAAAAGACAATGCCGGAAATTGGCGTCTTTTTTTTTTCGACCAAACCTTGTTTTTTGATTACAAAATAGTGTAATAAACCAAACTTACTATGACATTAAACTCAGTCTGAACTGAGTTACGAGCATCAGAATTTTGATGATTTTCATACTAGATTTGCTGTTTGCGCGCAAGTTTTGTAAGAAATTGCAACAAAATAATGACATTGTATGTGTAAACCAACAATACCATAAATTAAAGGCTCCAGACATCAGTATGCAGCAGAATCAGCGCAATAAAAAAATAGCGCAATATTTTGTTACAATTTCTTACAAAACTTGCGCGCAAAAAGCAAATCTAGTATGAAAATCATTAAACTTATAATGCTCGTAACTCAGTTCAGACTGAGTTTAGAGGTATACATGCCATAGTATGTTTGGTTTATTACACTATTTTGTAATCGAAAAACAAAGTTTGGTCGATGGCCGCGCGAAAAAAAAAAGACGCCACCTTCCATACAAAATCTGGCATTGCCATTTCGCTTTTCAAATGTTTCCATTATTTTTTTAATTTTCTTTGTTTGCGCCATCTATGAAATACACATTAAAACTCTTAGACCTTGAAAAACATTTTCCTTGTTTATCTGCTTTAGCGCCATCTTTGAAATTAGCATAAAAACTCTTAAACATTAGAAACATTTTTCGTAGGCTTGTTTTAGCGCCATCTATGCATTTAGCGTGATAAACACTTACGTTTCTAGTTTGACATATTTTTTGGTGGGAAACGAAAGAAATGATTCCCTCAATCCCCGATAGATGGCAATTTATTGCTAGTTTGAATAAAAAAAAACAATATTAATATTATGACTACAATAATCATAATAAACTTTTGTTTATCCTCGGTACAAAATTTCTTTCTTACAAAAAAATATAGTGCCTTCTCATATAAAAATGACAACAGTCGATTTTGATGAATTAACAAAAATTACAAAACATTATTGCGTGTCTCTAGTATTGCTTATTTAAATCATACCACTACATAATTTATAAATTCTTTGATCGTTTTTTTTTTTATTTCGCCCACATAAATGTTTAGACGAAGTGCGTCTTAATTACCATACAAAAGTGCTCTCTTTATGATTCTGTCGTGATGACAAGGCGCAAATTAGTTGCTCATTAATTCATAATGAGCACCGTGTTTGTATTAATTATCTTCAAAGGTTCATTAGAACGAATAGAGCACGCTACACTTTGATTCTGGGCCTTTGTTAGTTTGCTTAAAGGCATTATTCTATGCTATAATTTTATATTTTAGTACTAATATGTGGCATTCTGATCCACATAATAATAATTATTATGGTATGGTAGCAATCCCGTAAATAATAATAATGAAGTTAGTGACCATGAAAGTTTAAAACCTCATAATATTACTTAGTTAAAATAATAATAAGAACTCTCTTTATGATACAGCAAAAGCCCGTGAGTCCCAGACCTTCGTCATTTTTTAAAAGTTTGTCAGCGCACTCTCTTGTCGTCCCAACACAGGGAAGAACGATGGACCATCATGAAGTTTGGGTTTTATTGGCTTTGGCAGCAATAAATTTTTGGCTTTTAAAAACATTGAAAGTCTGGGGTTCACCAGCTCTTAGTCCATAAAATCAATAGGTAGGTAAAGGTATGCAGACCGTCAGTCTCACAGACGGTTTTCAGTTCATATTCCTACTTAATTACCTACTTCTTCAGTTATTGCACTTGCTTGGTCTATCATAGTACCTAAATCTGTACGTTGCTGAATAGTACTTACTTTCACACAAAAATAAGTTAATTATAAATCTTAACACAATGCTTTAACCATACGAACCGTTTAAAATACACCCACAAAATCGATCCCCCTCGAAATAGGATTAAACTTTCGCGAAATAATTAAGAATCTACATCTACAGGTATCCAATTTACATACGCGTTCCATTCTCACAGAATTCCCATACTTCCATAACCAATATCAGAAGTCCCCAACTTCGGCATTCAAACTCCGTATTCAAGTTCCATAGGTGGTCTGATTAATACGGTAAATTCACAAGTGCTCTAATATCGTCAACTTTTAACGGTGCTCCGGCCTCGCATAGTTCCCGAGCTGATAATGTTGGAACCCAAGTATTGTCAGCCCAGCATTCAAGGGAAGTAACCCTAATAGGGCTGCCAGGTCGTACCTAAAATCAAGCTGGATCAGTCTAATCAGAAAGCTGGATTTGTCAGGCAATGCTGAACATTTGGATGAATTGATTCAGTTTCCGAAGTTAAAAAGAATGAGTCAAAGACGTGTTTATGTAAAATAGTTTTTGAGTTAAGAACAGGGGTCAAAAGTGACTCCAAGAGGTTCGTGTAAATATACACGCGGTGCGTCTCTTCGCTGGAACTCAGCTTGACGCTCGCGTGTCTAGATCTCCTATAGGATATTTGTAAAGTTTCAGCCGGCTGAATGTCAGTAAAACCTACTCTGGCAAGACTCTAGTCTGAATTAGGAAAGGCGTCCAAAAAGTCTAAACTATCTGGGTTTGTTTGGACCCTGTCAACCCTACCTTTATGAAACAAGGCCGCCCATAAACAATAGACGCACAGCGACCGGTATGGTCTAATGAGCCATTATACAAACTTCTATTAGGCATTGAAACCGCAAATCGGGAAACGTCCGAATCAAGTTTAAATGGTGATGTTAATTGTTTCGCAAATGACGAAAGTTGTAAACTAGGAATATAACGATCTGATACTGTTAGCGGAGTCACGCAAGGGTATAATATGGTGCCTTTGTAAAGCTTGATAAGGAAAGAGGATATCCTACGGAAGCGACTGCCCGTCGGTTGTCAAGATGCTATCGCGAAGAAAAAAAACATAGACCAAGGAGTCCCACTGACCTATACTTTTTACAGGCTGTATGCACGTGATAGTGCATCGCATGACGTAACGTATTTATGCCTGAGCCACTTCACCGTTATCTGGCTCGTTACAGCACATGTTATAAACTGTACTGGAGGGTATTTTGCCACGACATAGGGCTGTCATGTTTGTGGCATCGGTATTTTGTAGTTGAATGAGGTCAAATTCTACATCGTCTCTTATGAGTATTATGTTGATGATACTAAATAATCTTAGACTTAGTTGCACCACCTAACTTTGACCGTAACTATAACGATAACCGGTGTTTTTGTATGGAGTTTGACAGATTTTTGACGTTTGTCAGAGTTAAAGTAAGATGGTGCAACCCAGCCATAGAATTCAAAAACCCAACTACAATAGCCATAGAATTCAAAAACCCAAACCCAACCAGCCATAGAATTCAAAAACCCAAATACTATAAGTCAAAATAAGTTCCAAATCATTAGTATCCATTATAGAATGTTTCATGGCTTCAGTTGGACACATTTGGGTTAATTTCAACGAATCCTTGTAGGATCGGAAGTCGTAGAAGGCTGGTGTGTAATTCAAGTGACTGGCCGAGGGTATTAGGTGGGCACTTAATGGTTAATGTTAGAGGTATTTCTGGTCTGTGGGGGTTATTAAACTAGAGTATAGGTTTTAGAGGCATCTTGTGAGTTCGTGACCTACAATTGACTGTGTAGTTCAGTGGCATCCAAACCTTTTTGGTTCGTGATGTTTTTCGGTTGAGGATAGACCTCCTTGCCCATATTATGTAGAATTCTAGGAAAACTAGGTAAAATCTATCAGGAAATAGCACATGCCACATGTTATTAGATAGATTCGAGAGACTTCGCGGACTATTATGTCAGTTGTTTGTATTTATTTCATCAATGGGAAGAAGAAAAATGTTCTTGATAAATTTTAACAACACAGAGCCGTTGCGGGTAGCAATGACCTTTTGGGTTGTTATACATCACTTAAAGTACCACCTATCCGTAGAACCTAACCAGAACGTAGACAGAACAACTCGTTAAAAAGGCGCTGACCTTACGGACACGTAAAAGTACAATCTTGGTACAAATTGCCCACTGGGCAAATGCATGTTTATAATTTCCCAGTGGTGGCGAACGTTCGGCCTCATTTCGCAAAATGTTGACACGGGTGGGCACTGGGCACTTAGCCGAACCCGTGACGTGCGAAATGGTTATTTAATTTCAGTTAAAACGGCCCACGATTTAATTAATGGTAAAAATCTTTTAATTACATTCATTTCCATTATGCAAACAGTGATGGGCGATGTTATGTTGATATTTTTTTTCTGCGGTCTTCTTTTTATATTTACGTTTCAATTAATTATTTTCTCTCTCAATTTTTGTTTCGTTCCATTGTGGTGTCAAGAATAGAATGGACGGACAAGGTAAAATAATTGTTCTCTTCAGCATATTTCGTTAATATTTACAATACGATTATTAACCTACAATCATTAACTTTCTGAAAGTTTCACTAATAAGATAAAATATAATTAGCTAAAAAAGTCGCTAGCTGATGCTTACCTATGTTTTACTCCTTCATGCAAGAACTCATTTCGATGAAACTTTAAAATGTCATAGAGCATCTAACACCATCAAGCACAAGGGCTACATTTAATTGGAATCTACATAAACGGAATGACCTGCATTTAGTTAGAGTATTAAATAATAAAACTCACCCGTAGTTTCGTTGATATTGAAAAACGGAGTGAACGGATTGCCCTCAGACACCAGGCCGTATCTGATTGCCCTGGGCGCTCCCTTGTCGCCGTCTTCTGCCCGTACCCTGACCACCACGTCCCCTGGCGCCACCTGTCTCGGCAGGTGGGTGACAGGGGGCGCTGCCGTGAAGACAGGGGGCATGTCCTGCACGTCTTGCACTACCACCACGACCTCCAATGCGGCGATGTTGCGGGTGTCCTTGCCCAGTTCTACGTATGGGTCCTGGAGGATAAAATTAAATGGTGATAAGGAAATCAATTGTTTTATGAGTAATCTTTGATGTGATTATTGTTCATCAGTTACGGAGCCTGTAGACTGAGTAAGATTCGATTTCGAAATTGTTTCACATTCGACAAAGTCAAATGTAAAACATTAATACTAACTTTGGGATAAGTAGCATGCAATCTGAACAAATTTTTATGTCTCTAGAGGCATTCAATATTTAGTGATGTATTTAAAGTCGGTTCGAAATTATGTGAAGTATAATATAGAGTAGCACATCACCAATCATTATTTTCAAATATACGTAGTATGTGATAATTAAAGCCATGTATTTTACTAGTACCTATCCGTACCATTATACTTAGTAATTCGCTCGCAAACTAACAATGTTAGATTCATTTCATCCTCATAGTTATCCAATTTCGCATTGCAATACTGCATAATTAAAGTAGAAAGTAACTTCACGAAGTGTTGTTAACTCGTATTTAGCTTATTGTTGCTTTCTAAATGCTAGATGAATACTAAAAGTTCTTTCTGAAAAACCACTACATACTAGCCTTGTTTTAGATCCATTTAATAATAGACTGTGATTGATATAAGGGCGCATTATTAAGATTTGTCCGGTAGTTGACCTTCCATTTCGGTCGACATAGTCACCCGGCCTGCGAATGCGCAACTCGATTACCATAATAATGAAGTAAAAGCTAATGGACTGGTTCAGTTTAAACGCATACCACAGCCAGCAGAGTCAGATGGTACATAGACTGCGCCTCGAAGTCTAGGGGTCCCACCAAGAAAATGGTACCCTCAGTGTTCTCAGTCGACACCCGCCGCTGTCGTATCGCAAAAAGCGGTGATCCCTGCAACGAAAAAACGTAAAAACCATATAATTGCTACATCCATTTAGCAAAACAGAAACAAGACCGTAATAGACGATGCTTTGAAATTACAGTACGCGTAAGGACACGCTCTCCATTATTATAGCATTTAAGTGGCCGACAAAACGACCTCAGGTTACGGGTGCCCGCCGTTCGCCACGGAGTGTGAGAAATTTAACACGCCTCGAGCCTTCTTAATGTCCGGTAATTGTGCAACATCATTGGATAGGGAGTCGCGAAAGCCCAACCCATCCCATTGTGCACCCATCTCAAGGCTCTAGCGAATTCGAAAGGAATCCCAGCCAGATTTCATGCAAATCAGACCAATTTAAATAAAATTCCGAAACCAACGCACCGATTGTAAACGTAATTTTGAAGTTTTCGACCATTTGAACAAGATTGCGGTCTGAAAGCAGCATTTTAATGAACCGACTTCTAATCGTTCCTTAATTTTTGTGCGTGGAATGTTTAACAACTTTGTGAATATAATTAATAGTATCTGGTGCTACTTTGCTAAAACTTCGAATATCAACGTCTTAATTGTCTCCAACACGATTGTTTCCCGTTGGAAGTTTTGAAACGCAATATTAACATCAAAAGTATTCCAGCAAATTATTAGAGGCAGGTATAATTCCCTATGCGGCCGTGTGCTGAGCCAACCACATAAATCTTAAAACGAATTTTGTCGGGGGCGTTAGGATACGAAGCTCCGCGGTGAAAATGAGCTCTATTAGTGTGTAAACGAAACCCCATTATGTGGTTATATCAGAATGCGTGGCGAACTGCGAGCGTCAGAAAATGACATTAAACACCCTAATGGTTCGCCGTAACACGTATTTTAAATGCAAAAGCCGTAATTACTTACCCACAACTCCAGCTCTAAAGGTTTTGGTGACAATGGATTTTTCCTCGCTATAACAATCTCTAGGTCTGTCCCTCTTTTTGCGTCCTGCAAAAATAAATCAAAGGTTGAAATCAACACTCACTGAGATGAGTATTCTGAATAGGTTGAAAGCCATGATCAAATTACTGGGAAATCTTTGATGTAAAGAATTGCCAATGAATAGGTTGTGTGTGTCTAATGAATGTAGATGAAACGTAGGATACGGGGCGAACTGTGTCGCGAAGGTTTTTGTAAGAACACGCGTAGGTTTGTTATGTTTATTTTGCGTGTTGCCGCGCCCTAATTTCTCACGTTCCGTCTGTGCATGACATTTTATAGAGTGCGAGTTAATTTCGATATTTCATATTCGCAGAGGGCGCTGCTGCTGTACTCATAGCTATCATCATCAATCAAGCTCCGACGCTGCCTCATTTGCTGGTGCGTAACACAACTTTACATTTATATTCAGTTACGTACGCAAATGCCGGTCTTAAATTAAAACTATAACATAATTCTCTACTTCTTATGATATTGAAAAAATAGCGAATTACTTTTGTAATATATGAAGATAATTGTACCTAATCAGGTGGGTTCGTGCATTTTTAATATTCATTTCGGTCGTTCTTGTTTTTGCTAACTTTTATTTTAAAGAAAAAAAGTGTAATCACGTCTTAAATAGGGCGGCGTTTATGTAATAAATTGCGATGGCTGTCAGCTTCAGCTCGTGTGATGGTGATGAAGCGAGCTGGGCGGCACCTGCGTCCTTACGAACCAATATCTCGAAGTATGTTAACGACTGAGCGCACTGCAGCGCCTGTAGGATCATTATTTGATGGCTCGTGAATTAAAAATAGCTTTTATTTTTGCTTACCTCAGGGACTAAAATGATGCTGGGCTGGTGCGGGAAAATGGTGTCTCTGGGCGTAGTGGCGTTGGTGCCAGTGATGGAACAGGCGATGCGATTGCTTCGTCCCCTGGTGTTCCGCACTGACAACCTGAAGTCCACGTAGCGGCCTGGCTCCAGCCTCCGCAGAAGGACCACATTGGCTTGGCACACGGAATTGTAGCGGGTGCAGGGCAGCGTCACTATGCCGATGTCTAGGCGACCCATTTGACCTGTGCAAAACGGTACATTAAAATGTTAGGTTATTGCTCATTAAAATGATATTTTTATCGTAGCTACCCATATAATGGTCTTTAAGTTACAGGCTCGAGTATCCTAGGAGAGAAAATGTCCCTGAACCCAATGTTTACGAGTAACTTAATGTGCAAAGTGTTACGAAGTATCAGTAAACAGCACTGAAGAAATATATCAATTGCGGCGCGGTGCTTTAGATAGCCTGCCCATAGTTAGATCAGTAAATTCAATCATACCATAACTCGTGGGTAGTTGTGGTCGTAATAACGTATTTCTTTTCGATTTCCGTGTTGTAATGCTACTAGTTTTACGCATGCTGCGCATAGACGTAGGTAGGTAATAAGATACTAGTTGTGAGATCAAGTACCATTGAAGGGCATGAGATATTGTAGTCCTAGTGCACCTAATCATAAAATATAAGACTTAAATTGTAGCTACTTTTGAGGTGTACAGATCAACTTTTAGATCAAAGTAGCATGGGTTCAGAGACTGCCTAAAAAGGAATCTATGATGATGAAATTGAAGAGTCTATGATGCACAAGCTTTTTCTATTACTTGGCCGGCCAGTTTCCAGCTATTTCAGCACACAAAAGATATTTACGAAGCTGACTTGGTATCCAAGTACGCAATCGCTTGTCGTTTCCCCTTTGCAAAAGATTGGCCAATGAAACTGGTTTGGTATCAAAAATGCCACTGCTTAGCCGCTGAAAATTATGCCTACTGGGAAATCGAGTCTGGGACTTCCGGATCTCAGACAGGTGCTCTTAGCAAAGAGGTGGATAAAATCAGCCTGTCTTAGCACCTCTTTGGAGAGAGGTCCAAAGGCCAAAGTTCTGGTGGCAGCCCGGCACCTCTTTGGTGACTCTTGGCAGTAGATTTTATACTTATGAGCTCGAAATGCAGCGGGTAGTCGAAGTCGGGGTCGGAGGCGCGCACGCGGTACACGACGGAGCCGACGGCCGCATGAGCGTGCTCGGGTCGAACACCGGCTCTACTTACGAATAGACTAGGTAGGTATCCAAATGAACCATCGCTTGTCGCTCTCCCTTCGCGAATGATTGGCCAAGTGCATCTCTAGAAGGAACAAGTGAGGAAGAGGAAAAGGCAATGGCACGAAGCCTTGTTGTTTCCTTTTGATTGATTGACAAGTATTCTATGTACCTCATCATCATCATCATTTCAGCCATAAGACGTCCACTGCTGAACATAGGCCTCCCTCAATGCTTTCCATGTTGATCGATTGGTAGCGGCCTGCGGCCAGTGCTTCCCTGCTACCTTTATGATGTCATCGGTCCACCTTGTGGGTGGACATCCCACGCTGCGTTTTCCGATACGCAGCCTCCATTCCAGAACCTTGCTGCCCCATCGGCCGTCACTTTTGCGTACCATGTGCCCTGCCCATTGACGTTTGCCAGTTCCAGATCATTGTATGTACCTATGAGTTCGAAATGCAGCGGGTAGTCGAAGTCGGGGTCGGAGGCGCGCACGCGGTACACGACGGAGCCGACGGCCGCGTCCGCCGGCACGAGCACGAGCCGCATAAGCGTGCTCGGGTCGAACACCGGCTCGCCGGCGCGCGCGCGCGCTCCGCACGCCAGCACCAGCGCAACCACCACGGCAAACGTCATCCTGGAACAAAACAAAAGCATACGTCACTTCACTATGTTGGTCACTTACGTGATGTTGGCAGAATAATTGTGGAAACAGATTGCCATTCTTGTTAAATAAGAAGCGGACAAGAAAGACACCAAAGTCGCTACTCTGCGAACAGTATTTTGAAGGGTTTAATTACTGTCCGAGTAACTCAGCGGTCAGAGAAATAGAGCGGCCAGAAGCTCGGAGTCAGAGCTGTCTGCTCACTTAGGTACCTACTTAATTCCTAAAAAACAGTTTTCAATAAAAATGTAGGTCGATTTTTAAAAGTTGTTTCATATTCAGCCAATGATTTAGCAAATTCGCAATGCAAATGACGTGACTAATTAATAGACATATGTAGTATACAATAATAAAATCGACTTGCTCACTTTCAAGAAATTAATAAGTAGGTACGTAGGTAAAGATTCACTTAATTCCTAAAAAAAACTCAGTTTTTAATTTATAATCATCAACAGCCCTTTACAGTCCACTACTGGACTATGAGCCTCCTCCACTATAGTGGAGGGTTTTGCCATAATCCCCACGCTTGGCAGGCGGGTTGGAGATCGCAGTTTAAAAGATTGATGTTTTTCAGAGAGCGCTGCTGCCCGTTCTCTGTTTGATGTGTAGTCCCTAAGTCGCCTCTTACGACACCCGCGGGAAGAGTAGGGGTTGGTGACAAATGTATTCTACTCTGCCGTCACCATACGGCATATCTAATCTATTTTAATTTATAATAGTCGCTTCATACTCAGGGAATGACTTAGTAAATTCACAATCAAAATGTGGCTAACTAATAGACATACACCCACCCCACGTATAAACAATAATCGACTTGCTCACTTTCACGAAATTATAGTCCGATTTTTAATTCGACGGAATTCTGACAGCTGTCATTTTTTGACAATTCAGATGTAATAAGCCTTTTTTGCTTTGAATTATTATTAAATAATACGAAATGAAATTTCATCAAGTACAACTTACAAGAATGAACTATTGTTTGTAGTGTCAATTCAATGTACACTAATTATTATGTACATTTTAGAGTTTAAATAGAAAAAAACGTGTTTTTAACACAGTAAAACAACATATTATCATTTACGAAAATATGTATTGATCATCAATCATCATTATCGTCGTCATAATCAACTTGGATTATAAAATTGGCATCTTGTTAAATTGGTTATTTTATGAACCTAAGATTTTATTAACAAAAGGATTTTCATAAAAAAGGTTTGTAACCCATGGATTATTGGCCAGGGAGTCCAGTAATAGAAAAATAATTTCCCAATCTTTTTTGTAACTTCAAAAATATGATAATAAAAATTCAAATAACCATTTTGAAATGATCAGTACATTTTTAAGCCTTAGTTTTTCAAGTGAAACCTTAAATTCAAGAAAGGATTATTTTTTAATTTGTGAAAATGCTCTCCATTCATAATGGGAATGTTTCAATGTTGACAACACTTCTGAAATGTCAAAATTCCGTCGAATTAAAAATCAGAGTTTAATTAGTAAGTAAAGATACGCCTGCAAGCGAAACTCGCAAGAATATAACAACAAAGATAAAACACCCTTTGAATCTTCAATTTCTTCAAAGCATTCTAATAAAACGCTATTTACAACGTGAATAATACTCGTATCGCCAGCACAAGACTAATTTGCAGCGGCACAATTTGGCACTTTGGCACACTCGTAAGAGCTCACAAACTTCTTTGAAATGCGGAATGCAGGGCGAAGTTAGGCGCAAAGTTGCTCATCTATTTTGGCACTAAGCACTTTGAGTTCTGTCTTTGTGTCATGTTTGAATAGCGCTGTCTTCCGCTCTCCAAGGAAATTGGAGAGAGAAGCAAAACATTCTGCTTTAAGTAGCAATTCGTGCCCACATCAATAGCCGTTTAAAAAGATCAAAGATATAGAAGTTGTTTACACTTTAATTTGTTTTACCGCTGGTTATGCGCAAAATGTTTATCTAATTTCAACGCAAACTAAAAGAAATTACTGCTTTAATTTCGCCTGTATTTTCCTTTTAAATTAACGACAAACCTTTATTGAATTTCCAAATTCACATTCGACCCCACGTTTTAGTCAAACAAAGGGAAGTCGAACTGTCGCCTCGGCGTCGGCTGCCTTAACTTCGGGACAGATTTGCTTTGAAGTTCAACCCAGTTTGTATTCGTCGATAACTTGGAGAAATCAAAAGTTAGGCGCAGACGCATCTAGGACAAGCGAGTGGAGTGCATTAAATTATAAATTGCCCGTATCTCTGGACTGGCGTTGGATCAGAGCGGCAACCGCAGAGTATTAGCTGTTCGGTTAGGAGCTTTGGCTTAGCAGTAGGCGGTAGCGAGAGCGACAAGGATATGCGGGTTTTTACACACGGAGCTTAATGTGGAGCTTACAGGCTGTAAAAATCCGCATTTCGTTGCCTGCTTCTGCTGTAAGTTACAGCAGAGTTCAGACCAAAAGTGGAGACCATATTTCACCGCTCCTATTAAGATCATATCTTATGTCATTTTCAAAATGAGATATCCTTTGGCTTTCGTCTAAAATCGATAGAAATATTTATAAAGCAAATAAAGGAATGCATTCATGAAAGTGAATTTCTCTAGATGTGAGCTCAATCTTTTTACCTACATTTTTGAAAAAATAAGGGTGGCAAAGCAAGTTATCAATGTAGGTCGAGTAATGTAGTAGGTACGTAGATACCTATGTAGTAAATAGTAATATTGCAAAAGTAGTGCAGCTTTGATTTAAATTATATTTGAGCTATGAAAACATCCGCTGAGTGAGTAACCTTTATGCAAATCTGTTGGCCTGAAGCCAACGTTTCCGATGTAACTCAACAAGTATAGCTGAAGTTGGCAGCGAGGTAACTTATGTTTGCTGATATGTGGAGCATATCGTATTTATTCGTAGTAGGTAGGTACCTATAGTACGCTTTGAATACTACCTCATTTGCTATAAATATACGTCACACTATCCGTGTCACTTATGGAAGTATGCGGCTGTATAATTTTATCAAATGCCTTCTCATTACTTTAGGTAGACATGAGCTTTACACCTTCATTTCTACTAAAGGATGTCCACAGTTAGACAAAAACCTCATAAATATTTCCACAACGGCCGGTCTTGTTGCACCACTTTGACGGTAACTATAACGTTAGCCGATGTTTTTTGTATGGAGTTTGACAGATTTTTGACGTATGTCAAAGTTAAAGTAAGATGGTGCAACCCAGCCTAAGATGAGACTTGACCAAAGTAAGCGTAGTTTCAAGTTGCCTTATGTTTTGTCTACTGTGGAATAAAAATAACGTAACCCGCTTAATCACCCGCTCACGCGCATCCCTGCACACTTCTCACTCGAGTTGCGAAAGGGAAAATTGTGTTATGAAATCGCACCGCTTCTGTTGCGACCAGGAAGCAGCCTTATAGCTTTGTAGGTAATAACTCGCTTAAGGATGCTATGAGATTAATTTTATTTCTATTTCATGCGGCTACTTCCTCCGTTTCTAATCTCGCGAATAATTTACAGAGGCAGCGCTTCGAGATGGCAGCGCTATCGCTTCGGTGCGGTTGACAACGAACAAGATCGCTCGTGTGGAATATGGTAGATAATCTAGTGCCTTCAAGAGCTGGAGCTATCCTGATAGCTGTCTTATGGACTTACATCGGCTAATGTTTTAATATGAATGAAGACATTGTTTGTAGGACAATAAAACGAAGTGAGACAGTTTTCATAGAATAAAACTCATATTTTTTAAATGTCTACTTTAAATATTTTGGAAAAACAAATGACACTATGTTTGTTGAATGTTAAAACTCCTCTATACCAACCAATTTAATAGATAGGACATTGTTGACGACATTAATCATCTCAAAGAATGTAAGGTATTAATTTACCTCCACGGTATGATGGATAGTTTGTTATAAAACAGAACACTTACCCGGGTTAATTTGTGTCTTAATTACGGATTCATCTTGTTCCCCTTGTCTACAGCCTGAGACGTCTTAGCACAACTTTGTGGGCCCATCCTAGAGTAATTATTCACCGGGAGTTATTGCGTGCTCGACTCGTGCCCGACACTGCTTAGAGACAGCGAATGAGAGATGCGACGACGCTAGGTATGGCGTCTACAATGGAGAATGAATACACAATTTTGGGTACGTACACTTTGGAAATGAAATTATAGTAGGACAGACAATTGAAAGAAATCGTTTCAGCCAAATGACGTCCGCATCCAGGTACCTACTTTCCTTGACCTTCACCAGATAAAGGTGATATCAAGTATGTATGAGCCTACTGTCACTTACAGCATTAAGTGACTAATAGTGAAAGAAAAAGAAGAAAACATGTTGAAAACACTTTTTAGATTCAAAGTAGGTAACGTAAATGCGCCTATTACCGCCAGTTTAAGCTCACTTCGGATAAACGTTAGAAAATTAGATATAAGACGTGGTGATAGAAAAGACACTTTAATTTATTTATAACAATGATGAAGTAATCTTTGAATTCAAGTAGTAAAAATGAGTATTCAATCACACAATAATTAATAAATAGCAATTTAATCTGAAAAAGCAGTTGTTCCTATTACCGACCTATAGACGAGGTGTGTTTCTATTAACGTTTTTTCTGTTTCTATTACCGACCGCTAAGAATATTGCTCTTCAATTGGGTATATTCCAAGAGGCACGGGTTCGATTCCCGCTCAGAGGCTCGGGGACCACTTGATTTTTTGACGTTAAATTTGTTTTGCTTTTAGTTTTAGTTAAATTTGTTTTTTTTAAGTCAATTTTTTTTAATTAATTTTTTTATTATTAAAAGAAAAAAGGCACGCTTCTCGAAAATAAATAAATAATTCAAGCAAAAATAGTAAAATAATAAATTCCTCTATTATACTTGATTACGCGGTACCCGGTGTTCTAGTGAGTAGTGGGGGTCATTATTTAAACTATATTTGAGTTTTAATAAAATTAAATATTCATTTAATAT